GCAAATGCTGTTGTTTTCCTAGAGGGACATGTGTGTTTGAACAGCCGGTCTGAAACGATGCGATGAGTTCGAGCAAAAGTGCTTGCCACAGCACGTTCGGTGCATTCGTCCCTTCGGCCTCGCTCTGTCGTCTGTTCCTGAAGAAAGCCGGGGTTGTTTTCGGGGTGTGCGCTTGCAACATCGCTGGGACTGAATCGCGGGCTTTCACTGCGTATCATATGGAAAGAATTCACTACGCCTGGCGCTTTAAATCTATCGGTGTGTTTGCATGACACCGCACCTTCCCGTTGCTTTCTTTGGTGTGCGCGTGTGTGAGTTTACATACGCTCTGTGCGATCGTTTGCCTTGCCTGGGTTGGTCGGGAGGGCTTGGTCCGCCGCTCGATTTTACCGGCCAAGTATCATGGTCGGGCGGATCGTTCTCGTCATCGATGCGAAAAGTATAGTCTAAACAGAATGCGACTCTCATGACTATCATGGTATTGCGATGAACGACTCGGCAAGAGCGCAATCATAACCACGACGAAATCATGCTTGTTTTGATGGGTGACTTGACTTGCTTCTGTGGCTTGCATCGAGGACTCGCGTCACTGGTCGAGCGAAAGCAGCAGCTGAGAACTCTGACAAGGCCAGCAGAGTGCAGTGTTTTGCGGGCTCAGTTTCTTGCCGTATGGTGCGGATTATGACTCGTGCTATGGGTGCACCGGTTCTCTGGGCCTGAAGCAACTTCTTGCAGCATAGAGGCTCATCGGCTTTTGGTCTGGAACGTGTGAGGGCTGAGCTTGCTCCCTCCTGTCGATATACAGCTGAAGTCGCTGAACTGTGAATCTCGAAATGCTGCTCTTTCCGCTTCTCCAGGCTGAGATCAAGGCAAGGAGGCTCTCAGGGCGTGCTTTACAGGTTGAGATCGGAAGGGTTCGAACTCAAGACCCTGGAAACATCGACACACTTGCGGGGTCGAGCTGCAGTCAATCTGCGCGGGCTAATTCAGCCGAACACGGCCCGTTCGGTGCCCAGTCATCTCCCACATAAAGAACGGGACCTCTGACTAGATTATGATTTCATCGCAGAGCTTTCGGTGAAAGCTCGTAGGCCTTGCAGGCACTGACTTTGACCACCTGAGGACCTGATCCCAGGGGTTTCGTGCAGTTCCTTGGGATCCGAGTACGCAGCATTCGGCTTGTGTGGTTTGGGATTTTTGATCGGAGCACATGACACCACGTTTTGTGAAGTGGGTCTTTTCCTAATATTGGTACAGCTGCAGTGTTGAAGTCTTGACTCGAACTGACGAGACTACGAGGCCTAACCTTTGCCACCTCACGAGAACGAGAGTCTCGAAAGCGCGTCGAGTTTAGAGATAGTCAACACCGAGACACCGACCATTATCGCATAAACTGTCTCCCTCCGCCCATCCATTCATCCGGTCACCTTCCCATCCCTCCGTCCGTCCGTCCGTCCGTCCGTTCATCCATCCGTCTTGCGGTAGAGAAGAAATCGCGCTCCCGTCTTGCCTCACATACATTTTCCGCAGTACTTGTTTCGGTACGATATGATCCCGTCGCATCTGACGTATAGCGCTGTTAGCATCTTGCAGCACAAAGTCATGTGACACAGGCCCCGAGCAGTACTGGCGGAATTCAGACATTTCGAGCTAAAATCATGAACAGCACCCAGTGTCCAGCACCGAGTTGTCATTCGAAAGTAACACGAGGCCAATGTATTGAAATTTAGGGTGGACCTCGCTTGCAGTACACGCCGCGTCCACCGAGACTGAAAAGGATTGTCATTCCGAGCACGAGTCGCCAAGCACCGTGCACAGCGCCATTTCACGTGACCGAGCACGTTGGTATCCGGAGGGGGTTGCCACATCCGAGGACGAATCCTCACGGCACCGCATGCGCAGCACCATTTCACGGTGCCCGGCGACTCTCGCTAGCACTGCCCCATGCGTTATAAAGAACATGAAGAGATGAGCAGCAACCTCTCGAAGACCTCACAACTGGCACGCAACCTTACGGCAGGCTGAGGGACAGCCTGGCATCAACATACATCGCACATGATGCGCGGAAAAACCCTGCCATCTGAAAACGGTTCCAAACAACGCCATTCAGAATTCAGAATCTTTGGTCGAGTTGAAAATTCCTTCTGAAGTCTTGCGATGCTCGCAAGCGGCTTCCGGCTGGCTTAGAACTTTTTCGGAGACCAGAAAGCCTTCTTCGCTCGCCAGGCAGCGAGAGCCGGAGCCCTTAGGTCACTCAAAGGATCGGAGCAGAAACTTTGCTGCACACTGCAAGGCACTTCTAGCTGTTTCAATGTTGCGAGATGTGTGGCTTTGCCGCTTGCAGGGGTCGAGAAGGCTCTGAGATTTGAGTGTGGAATGAACAGATATGACGAAGAAGAAGCTGGAACATGAATTGTTTGGGGCAAACAATCGGGACAGAAGGCATAGGGTGTTGGCCCTTCAGGGTACGGGTTGGGCTTGGGACTGCAGGCTTTGAGGATCGAGACAAACATGTGGACTTTCGTTGCTTACTGTATTCTGAGGATACAAGAGAAAGCCCAGGAGAAGGAGGAATGAGTTCTAGAGAACCACAGCCCCGACTGATGATGCCCACCACGCCGTTTCACACAAGTATTTGCTGGCATCAGCGAGTGCAGCATCGCAGAAAATTACTTGCAGTGTGCTTGCTTGCTTGCTTGCTTGCATGCCTGCATGCCTGCATGCCTGCATGCCTACCTGCCGGCGTGCGCTTGCTTGCTTGCTTGTTTGCTTGCGTGCTTGGGGAATGGCTGGCGTACTTACACACTGTGGGTCGTTGACACTGCTACTGCATTGGGGTCTCGGCTTCTTCCACCTGCAAGCGTGCTTTGGAGTCGCACTTCAAGGTGCAATCCTGTTCTGACTGCTTCTATAGTATTGTGCACTTGGAAAAATGATCTGGGGCAAGCAGCAAGCTGAGTGCTGTGAATGCTTGCTCCCGACTTGCTGCCCTCTCCCTAACGGGCATGTCCATCGCCTGGCCAGCTATTGAATACACACCATGCACCCGCCAACTTCCTCTTGAAGTGTCGATGCAAAACACACACGGAGCGGAGCGGAGTCTGAGGCCGACGTTTTCCGCGTAGACTACTTCGAGGCAGGAGCCGACTCTGGCGGCTCTGGTCCGTTTGGAAGTTCAAACGTGCTGAACAGCTTTGAGAGGGGAAGTAGTCTGGCCGAGTTGTTAACGATGTTCTAGCGGTTTAGCCTGACAGAAGATATCTCCACTACGGAAAGGATAAGTTTCATTTTCCAGGCACAACTCCCGACACATGTAGCCGCGACTTTTTCTGCCGGCTGCACAGGGCGATGCCTTCTTGGCCCAGTCGCCACAGCTTTACAAGCAAATGGCCCTGATGACCGACATGCAGCTCAGCTGGAACCTGGTTTCAGGACGTGTTCACAGTTGAAGCTGTTTTTGTTGTAACATTGAAAACACTTGTTGGTTACACTTCCTATGTCAATGTAGCGAATCACTCCATGCACAGTTGTCATGTTGTGAGAAGAGACATGGAGCTAAACTTGCTAAAAGTGGGGGGGGGGTTGTGCAGAAAGGCGAGCAGCATCAGGTCGGAGGTTGATGGCCCATGGCTGAACACTTAGGCTGTGGGTTCAGGCAGGGCATCTCATTGAAGCACCTGCCAAGTCTAACGTCCAGCTTGGTCGCACGATGCTTCGCTGCACGGGCTGCCCAATCATGGCTGGAGCCTATACCCAGACAAGTAAATTCAGCTTGGTATCTATGTGATCCCTGCCATACCGACTTTGACAGATGTGACAGAAGAAACTTGATGTCCTGTTATCCCGATGCGCGAGATGACTTCTGAGCTCTGTTTACACGAATGCAGACTAGCTGTATTGAAAACAAAAGATTGTCCGATTGAACCCCAAGCGATAGTAGAGTGCATCCAACTAGCTACATCAGATGAGCTCAGCCAGAGCGCCCAAACCCTAAGCCATCGTCCTTGATCCGAAGCAGCCAAACCATTCCGAGGCCTCGCGTGTTTGAGGTCGGTCCCATTTTCCGGTCCGAGAAATCTTTCACTCACAGGCCAGATCGCACTTGTCACAGAGTGACCCAGACCAAAATAAATGCAATCGAAGAGCCAGGGGAGTAGTTATCAGACTCAGGCTTAATACTTCGGAGGAGGGCGAAATTGACATCGGGAAGTGTAACGACATGGATACTGCAGGAGTTGCACTGAGACAGCAGGTCACTGTCCCTCTGAAGCCATGGCGCAGTAACCCATGTCGAAGGGTACATTCGGGTACACGGACACGATGGTACTCACTTCTGTGTCCGGATGTTATACTTAGCTTTGCACAAATCTGCATGCACGCAAACAAAGCAAACAGAGAGACGGACAGACAGAAGCTGACAAGTGTGCGCACAAGACCCCCGAACAGCCGAACAAACACAGTGAGGAAGGCGTATGGAGTTAATGAAGTTACGTATATGCATTGTGTCGGCCTGGGGGGGATCTGCCCGTCCGTCCGTCCGTCCGTCCGTCCGTCCGTCCGTCCGTGTGTGTGTGTGTCGGTGTCGGTGTCGGTGTCGGTGTCGGTGGGTGTGGGTGTGGGTGTGAAGAAATTGAAACCGCTGGTAGGTGCGACAGCATTGCTGAGCACTTTTCCGTGGAATGGCAAAACTTCGACATCTCCATGGCCGCTCCTGAGATCTAGCATGATGACAGCTAGTAACGCAATTACTGGTTCATGATCAACGAGTATTCCACTGGAGGGCAAGACGTTCTTCTGCAAACGATGTGAAGAACAGAAAGCACCCGAAGTATTCTGCCAGGACACGAGGAAGTTCGATGGTCCGGAACACCTACCAGAATGCTCTTCGAAATTCCGCATGGGTTATACCAGACTATGGGAAGCTAAAACAAGTCGAGCAGTACGCATTGCAGGACGACCTGGTGGAGTGTTTGAAGCAGCGCGCTCCGATTGCGTGCGAGGACTCGGCAAGACAGTGTCCGCCGACGGTGGATTGAGGGTCTCGCCAGACCTAGCGGATCTAGCGGTATCATGTGCGAATTGGGGCAAGGCTGACAAGAACGACAACCTGCGTATCATTGGATACTACGATGTTGGAAATTCTGCCTACACTGGCTACATGAAAAGAAGGTTTTCTGCTGAAGATCGAAGGGCAATGTTCCACAATGTGATAAATCCCAAAGAGGAGTTGTTGGGAGATGCATTCGAACTTGCATTGGGGATGCTTACACTTGCGATGAGGCATCCAGAAAAGTTCCCGAACTGGGGCACCTACAAAGGCAGCAACGCGTGCATTCAGGGCTTGGATCGAGTAATTTCTACATTCTACAGGTACGCCGCCGTGGAGTCATTGCGCTGATCACCGCTATCGCTCCAAGGAAAAGGTCTCCTCCGCGAAGGAATGATGAGATTGAGAGATACATCGGATGACATCGGTATGCTGACAGCAAGATTCCTTACACGATTCGAGGCTATCCCATGAGTCAGGGATAGATGAGAGGATGGAAGAAGATGAGGAGGGTCTGGTCGACACCTCTAATGGCGTGGGATCTGCCACCGTCATGCTCGAGGAAACCAGCGGTGATGGAGAACAACCAGAGGAAGAGGTCGCTGCGCCCCTTGATCCTGATCAAGCCTTCCGCAATGCGATGAAGGCGAAAGCAATGGATGCTCTCCTCATGTTATTCGCTGGAAGCATCGAGGTTGGCAAACGCACAGGTACACTTGTGTTCTTTGCGAAAGCGATCAACTTTCCTTTCGCCATTGCGACATTCAATTTCCTTCTAAGGAGAAGGGCGTGGTATTCTTTGGAATAATGAATAATGCAGGAGGGCATCGACTCGTACCCCAAACAACTTCTTATTGATCCATCTCAAGTCCGAGATCGACAGCAACAACAATCCTCTGCATCTATGGATGTGGATGAAGTCAACAGTTCGGCTCCTTCAACAGGAAGACCAAAAGCCAAAGCTCGACCTAGACGTGGAGGTGAGACTGTCAATGGCGGCATGATCATCACCCGGTACGATGCTGCTCACAATTGCCTCAACATGGTGGGAAACCGCCGTGGAAAAGTTCAACGCCTGCGGTGAAGAACTCGATCAACTCGGGTGGCCAACCATGGTGACTGGATGGAGACCATCAAACGAATGACGAGTGCTCAAAACATGAGTCTCCCTCAACGAGGTGATGCTCCGAAGTACCCACTTTCTCAGGAAAGCTTGAATGGCTACGCAAACCCAGGTTACAAGAACATGGGCTCCGAAGTACCCACGTTCTCAGGGAAGCTTGAATGGCTACGCGAACCCAGGTTACAAGAACATGGGCGATGGCGTAAGAGCTGGGCTTCTAGACCTCATCCCAAGCAAGGGTGCTTCGTTCGTGCGTGATGAATGGGGCATAGTTCAAGCCGCCCAAGCTCCACGACTCATCAGCTTCAACCGCAAGAAGAACACAAAGTGGGCTCTAACATGCATTCAAGGAGATCTACGACATCACCTTAGTCGGACGCATTGTTGTGCTTCGATTGCACGGAGAAAAGAGGGATGCCCACCATTCCACACTCGACAGTCGCACTAAGGAAAGCATTGAGAGGAAACGTTTCGGGGAAACACAGTGATCTCATTCAGCAACATCTTCACTGATCCATCGGGCATCTCAATATCAGCCCATTCATTTTGATGGCCAGTATCGATCATTTCTGGGTAACTCGAATCAAAGAACATTGTGTACCTATCGCCCCACAAGCACTCAACAATCCATCAACCGGAGAACTCGCATCATCCGGATGAAAGTAGCTATCTCTCCATTCATTGCTGGTGCATTCTTATCAAATACCGAGGAAGGATGATCCAGTGATTTGCAATCCTGGGTGCTGCAGTCTCAGGATCCTCAAGATTGAACAATCGCAACGACAGCTCCTTCATTCGCTGACCATGTTGACAGTGACTGCAAAGCATTCTCAAGCTCATGCTCCTCAACATTCCTACTCACTCTCACCTGACGATCATATTCCTCAGGCTCCACATTTGTCTTGGCTCGGCTCTTTGGAGCTGATTCATTCTTCTCCATTTCCACAACATCGGCATTCACCTCTTCAGGAGGTTTCCCGCCAATCTGAAGATCGTGAGGACGAGGCGCACTTTTTGTCAAGTGCGGCTTTTGCGGCTTGTGCATCAGTCCAAACTCCACCCGGCCTCACCAGTCCTTCGTCATGCGGCCTGGTATTCGCCAGTGTCAGGAAATTCTAAAATTCTCATCACCGACAGTCCCAGTTGACCCGTCTCGATATTTCTTATGGGTCACTCTTTCGCCAGCCAGGCGAGACACTTGTACCGGCATTTTATTCGTCAGTATGATCCGTTGATCAAGCATGTCGTTTCGCCATTGACACACATGGCGAATCAGTTTCAGCTCTCCCAAGTGTCCAATCGGGATGCATCGGCAAAGGTCATTCCTTGAGCTGGGGCAATCAAGGCACCAATCTGACAAAGGTGGTCAATCGAACCATCATGCACGTCCGACACTCCACGCAATTCGGCCCAAGGCACCAAGATCTTGTTCCATTCCCGCCATGATTGACATTATTACTTCCGGCAAACAACTCGCCGCCAGTCTCGCTGCATTCGCCAAGGCGTAAGGAATGAGAGTGGGCGTCAGATACACCAGTGTCCCTTGCTGGACAATCGGCACAGGATTGCCAGTCGGGTCATTCAGCGCAAGGTAGTCTTTTGCCATTACAGTCCAGAAATCTTGCGACAACAGTCGTGCAACACTGATCAGTGAACACTGGTCAGTGGCAACGGGATGCCAGTGCACACGTAGAATTGAACACTCAACGAGTGGCCATTGCCGCAGTCAAGCTGAACCATCTTTCGACCTTGTACATCCTGTGTCTTTCCAGACAAACTCCGCAGTGACGGTGCGCTCTCATTTTATCCGGACATTCCTGTGCAAACCATTCAGGACAACAAGTCGTGCAAGTACCACTGTCGGCCAGTATCCAAGTCTTATCGACCAGTCCAGCCTGCGTGTGAAACTATACCAGGTTGTCCTCAAACGGATCACTCTCAGGCATTTGCGCCATTTGCGGCACACTCGGAGTCGGCATTGGTGGCACTCCGGAACTCAGTGAGCCAATCAACAGACAAGCCCCAAAGAACAAATTCGTCATCAATCCAGGCTTTGCTCCTCTCACAGTCTTCGCGACGCGGGTAGCATTCTGATCCGAAGGCTCGACAGTCACAGCGGAAACATTCTGTGGTGGTTCATTCTTGGCAGTGTCCTGAGGGACATTAGCTGAGCTCGTGGCACCATTCGGGCCAGTTGTCCACCAGTCCTGAGTGTTCCAGGACCAGTCCTCAGGCCAATAACTCCAGTCGTCATCGAAGCATGACCAGTCAGCGAACCAATCATAAACGGAACCAATCCACTCAGAATTCCAATCCGATTCATCCCATGTCCAATCGTCATAGTACCATTCATCATCCTGATTTCCAGTCCTGACCCCAGTCTCCTTGCTAATTCTCTTGCTGGTTTTCTTTTCTTCACCAGGCAAGCTGACATTCTACATTTACCTCCTTTCGGGCATTCTTTGTTCACCACACTTCAAACGTCCTTGTCCTTTTACCCTTCCCCTCATTCCTCTCATTCCTTTTCCATTTCCTTTTTCTTTGTATCTTCTCTTTCCTTTGCCTTCTCCTGTGTGTGAGACCATTCCTCTTCCTTTAATGGTCTTCCAGTCGTCGTCTCATGTCTGTTTTTCAGTATCATGAACTCACTCAGATCACTCACCAAGTGTTCATTTCTGAAGCGGAAGCCAATGATCTCATTCAACAGATTCGTGGCTCTCGCTTTTTCCGGCAGTGAGAACTGCTTGTGCAATCGACGAAATCTCAAATCCATTCTCAGTGTCCTCATTGCGCACAATCGCGAGTGCGGCACCATTAGTGATTTGGGCCAGCATGTAAGCGAGTTGTCGTGAAAACAGTGACAGTTGATTATTCTGACTCCTGGTCTGTTGCACATCGACGGCTTCACACAAATCATCATCAATCGCTCGGTTCGACCCTTCGACACCTTCTTCGATTAGATGTTTTGGGTGAGAGGGAGTCCAGTGACTCCCGAGATTTTGCAGGTTTCAGGCTAAGGACATGCTAAAAACTCGGGTTTTGGCTTAATTCTAGGAAAAGCTGCATCGGGACCTTCCGGGGTGGGAGGGGGGGTGGGGGAGGGGTTAATAACGTCCGTGTTGACACTATCCTCCAAAGCTCCGAAACACAAACTATGCTATCATATTCTATCATAAGATCATGTACTGCCATAGTTTGTAACATGTTGCTTTATACTCTCCAAAACTGTCACAAACTCCACTGTCGTAGAATGTAACGTATTGCTCCGTACTCTCCAAAACTGTCATGTGCTTTGGCAGATAGGACAGTCCCTCAACCCTTCTTCCGTAGCTTCCGTGGAGCAGTGCCCCAGCGGAGAGGGCTTCAGGGTCCAAGGCTTAGGGATTTAGGGCTTAGGGCTTTGGGTCTAGGGTTTACGGATTTAGGGTTTAGGGTTTCGAACGCATGGTAACCCTGCCCGAACAATCCTAGATCTGATAGCTGAATCATCGAGCCCCAAGCCAGAACCCGGATCATTCCTAATGCTTAATTCCTACTGCTTAAACTTTGTTCCTGTTCCTCGACTGACTTGGCCATAAGCTCCAGGCAGCCGTGAAACATAAAGGCGCTGGATCCTAGTACTTCTGGGTATTTGGAGTTGAAGTCATGTCGAACACATACTATACAAGCAGATGTCCCGGAACAGGGCTTCGTTGCAGAACACTACTGCCGATGATTTTTTGTTGGATGGGTTTCTGCAATAATCCACTTCCAGTCCAAGCTAATACCTGTGAAGTCGTCATCCAGGCAAAGTTTTGACCGAACGCTTGCTTCATAATGTCTTCAACACCACTGTAAAACGCACAAAATGCCCCATTCCAAATGACCCCTCTCGAGGATCGCCCTCTTCCATATAAGTCGTCGCCCGAGCAAAAATGTGCAGAAACCATCGTTTCGCGCATTTAAAAGTCTGCATTACGCAAAACTGACGTGCAAACCGTCCGGAGTCACTCGCCTCCCTGTCACCATGTTTTGCCACTGGTTTGTACAATCCAAAATATCGCGTCAGCTGCCAAGACCAATCTTCCCATTTTTCCAACTCACCGTGATAAGTCGGAAGAGGGAACAGTTTCATTTCTCTTCCAATCCCTCCTGTTCCGAAGTCCATTCTCTTTCACTCTTCCTCCGTCTCCAAAGATTCCAGAGCCAATGCTCCGCTACCATGCAAAATTCCACTATACAATCCACACAGTTGTGACTAACCGAGGTCAGTATATTTCGCCAATCAACAACACAGTCAGGCAAGCATTCCCTTATGCGACGAAGCCAATCTTGTCCAGTCTTGAACCAAATTCCATTCGCCATTGTAGCATTCGGTAATGCATCATGATCATTCGGCGGTACATCGGGATAGTGACGTGTAGCATAGTGCGTGAGTGAGTGAGTGAGTGAGTGAGTCCGTCAATGAGTGCGAGTTAGAGTCAGTTAGAGACAGTGAGGTGAGTGAGAGACAGTGAAAATGAATGAGCATGAGTGAGCGTGTCTGAGAGCGAGTGAGAGTGAGTCAGAATGAGTGAGTGTGAGAGTGAGCGAGAGTGTGTGAGAGCGAAGGAAAGTGAGTGAGCGTGTGTGAGAGTGAGTGTGAGTGTGAGTGAGAGTGAGAGTGAGAGTG